TATATATATATATATATAATACAATTTTTATAAAAACTTTTACAAAGTAATTTTTTCTTTTTTTAATTTTTTCAATTTCTCATCAAAAGTTCTCGCATGAAGAGAGATAATAAACAGCAATGACGTGAATTTTAATGATTGAAATGTCAAAAAGACATAATTTTTAGATAAATATAGATTTTAGATAAATAGTATAGAGAGAGGAACATGAAGTGCGCGAGAAGGCGTTGGCCGAACGACACCACGAAATCAAACTTGACCGAGAGACGAAGCTAATTAACTTACGAAGCATGACCTAGAGGCGAAGTTGAATCGTTACACTTTCCTCAACGCGGTAGAGGAAAGGAAGAATCGAGAACGTTCAATGCAATCGGCGCGAAACTTTTGCTCGAAGCTTCTCTACGCCGCTTATGAAATTTCGAGTCCGGTGTGGAAATCGAAATGTTCGCGAATCGCGCAACGGTGTAATATATTGAGAACGAGAAGCGCGCGATGGGCTAATCGACGTCGGTCGAGCTTCCGTTTGTCAAAAGAGAAACAAAAGCATCGGAAGCGCGCGCTGGACTGAAAGCACCGAAGAGTTAAATTAGTTTTGCCGAATGGACGTTTCTATGCACTAGGGCGGATTCTATTCTAACGTGAGCCGGAATGAAAATAAGTTCTATCTTCTGCCACGTATTTTAACACAACGCCGGAATAGATGAGAACGGGCGATGAGAATATCGGAGGAAGCAAACAATACGCTTTTACCAATCACCGATCATTTATACATTTTAGTAGTTTTTGCGATTTCCCGAACGAAGCTTAAAGACTCACAAAGAAAAATTTGTCGATAACGGCAAATTTGTCTACCGGATTTCGAATCCATTATGAATTATACAATTGATTTATGATTTCGAATTAGATCGTAAAAATAACTCCTTATAACTACTTATTATAATTTCTTTCTACTTCATTTATTTTTTGTTAAATTTATGATATCTTTTATCAAAACATAAAATTTGTTTTTATATATCAAGTTATAAAATATGACGAAACTTATTGGAAAGAATTGTTTATTTGATGTATAAATGGCAAAAGGACTAAATAATTGACTATGGATGTATAAATGGTGAGAGCTAAGAGACTAATTGATGTTTAGCTTCAAATATGCATCATTTCTCAATTTTAGTCAACTTGATTAATCGGAAATTACATGTGACAGGTGTTGGGTGTATGGAGCACCAGTTACATCCCCAAAGGGACACGTTTCGGCCCCTTGGTTGGTCAGGTGTATACGAAGGATTCGGTACCGGCAGACGCGAACCGGAAGTACTTCTGGCGGGTAAGAAATCAATTTTACATCTCTATTTCAACCAAGATATTATTCGGATTACGGCAAATAACTCTTTGTCGAGGCAACGTAGACAGATTCGATAATACTAATGAAAATTTTAAAAAAGAAGGTACAGAAAAAGATTTAGGATGAGAAGCCAGCAAAGATCAGAAACTCAACCAATCTAAGTCTTAAAGCAAAAATCCACGAGAAGCCGTTGATACAACTTGTAATTTATCAATTCGTTATAACGATTACTTGGTTCCTCCACAATTTTCTCACGAAATATACGATACAAATATACGATGAGAATAAACAAACGCGAACGTTAATCAATGCCTTTGCAGTAATTTCTTGTAATAATTCAGTATTTTCTCAGAAGAAAATACGTGAAAAAATACAAAATATTTGTAAAAATTGAAATTGTAACCTTGGTTGAAAATATGACTTTAGAGGCTCTTTATAGTCATAGTTATCAAGAAAATATATTAATGGGTTGACAACAACTTGCGTTATAAACTCTTCGACAAGTATCATGTAACTTAACTTGTAGTGTAACTTAACTTTTTTTTTACTTTATATACTTTATAACTTTTTTTATTAATAAAGATAAGATTAATAAAGATACATACATTTACTTGTTTTTATTACGTTTCTTAATGTCTTACGTTTCGAATAAAAAAAGATTTGTTATCTGTTTATTTTTATATTATATTGTACAAAATACTCAATATGCGGCATACATGATAAAAAATGTGTATTACGACACGGAAAAGTTAACGATGTAATAGTAAGCGATCGATGTTTATAGCGTTAGTTAAAATTGCTACCAACATGAAACTTTGAGAACATATAAGAAATTTAAAAGATTTTCAAATCTTTTTTTGACGTTTATATCTTTTGAGATATGATGGAACATATCTATAATCAACGAATGCGTCCATAATTAAAGAACCGTCACGATATTGTCATGAAACCGTTTCAATCGTCGTAAATACAAAAATGATTTTCGCATTTTGCTCAGGTATACAAGAACAATGAACTGTTCTATTACATCGACGGTTATGACGTCCAGAAATCGAATTGGATGCGTTACGTGAATCCCGCCTACTCGTCCGAATCGCAGAACCTAATAGCATGCCAGTATAAGGTAAAGTAATTTTGCAGATCGCATCTTGCGAAGGGGAGAGCGTATATTTTAAATCGCGTCTAGATTATGCGCAAGGAAAAAAGCTCACAATTGTTGCTGTATCCGTGTTTCAGATGAACATTTATTTTTACACGATCAAGCCAATATTACCGCATCAAGAGTTGCTGGTTTGGTACTGCAGGGAATTCGCGGAAAGGCTCAATTATCCGCTCACCGGTGAGCTGATGCTTCAGAGAATACGTAAGTAGATATATACTCCCCGTAAGCTAATATGTATAACGTGAAAATGAAATTATAATATGAAAATTTAATGTGCAAATCAAAATCTCAATATACCGCTAACATTTGTAATATATTAAAACATTTAGCGTTGTGAGGAAAGCTAACATTTATAGCTTATACTAAATTTCACTTGATTATTCATATATTTCTATCACCATATTTCATGATCTTTTGTGTTGTCTGTGTTTATGAATAGTCTTCTGTATAAAATAGAAGCTATGATTATTTAAATAGTTAGTGTCGCATAATATGATTTAATTCGAGTTAAGAGAATTTTATGTGCCATCTGTGTCCACCTATACAGCAAAGAACCTTTCAACTATATGTATAAGCGATTTTGCAAGTTATAATGTAATGCTACAGAAACATTGTAAATTGTTGGGGTGATTAACTTTTTTGTTTGCCGTATTATGGAGATTCGAAAATTTTTGGTATGTCACTTTACTGCAGAATTAAGCAAAAAAAAAAAAAAGATCGTAATCTTACTTATACTTTCTTCTCTTGCAATTGAAAGCAAAAAGACTTTTTCTGTTAAACAAAGTTTACTGCTTTTACTGTGTTCTGTTTTACACTTGTTTTAAGGTAAATAGTTTAGCATGAAAATGAGCAAAACGAACGCAGCTAGAAAAACTCAGATGTAAAAAATAAAGTTTAGTGGAGTACAGTTCCTATTTTACTATGTCATTTTTTAGTTCTTTTCTCATACTCAACGCGTACTTCTTTAGACGCACTTGCTACTGAGAGTGTCTTTGCATGCTGGTAACACGTATATTGTGAGTTAGCCACCCCTGCTGTAGACATATATAGAATGTCTCAAAATTCGTAAATTAAAATTTACAGCAAGAAAGTTTATTTTTGAAAAATGAATTAAAAAATTATTTGTAAATTTTTATTCCAAGCATTAGCTTCTGAGATATAAAGATTCAAATGTGTAATTATAGATTACATTTAGTCACCTGTGAGTAAACTGAAGTGTACGCGCATCAGCACTCGTTAATACTACGCGCGACTCATAGGTAGATAATCATCATAATTAACCACATTTTAACTCTCATTATCTCAAAAAATACTGCTTAAAATAAAAATTTACAGATAACTTTTTACTTAATTTTTCGAGAACTTTCTTGCTATAGCATTTAGAGCCACGAATTGTGGAGCACCCTGTAGAATATAGCAAAGTACAGCCAAATTATGATAAATCCAAAACTATGCATTGGATTATAAATCTCTTCAATAGATGTTATACATAAAATCGTACTAGCATAATCCGTAAGCATAATTGGCACGGACAAGCAAGTAAGTAAAATAGATACAAACGAAAGCTGTCTCTAAAAATCTTTACAGTGCAATCGAATGTCGTATAACAAAATTCTATTTTATAAATTTATCTTTGTTGTGGACTGAAATGAAGTTCTTTTGTCTATTTTCTCGTTCCTTATATTTGTTTTTAATCACATAAACAAAATAAAAATAGATATGGAAGGGAAAGTTCATAATAAAGACATTGTTTAGTCTCGATGAGTTCACAATAGGTGCGAGCGTTCGATCGTAATAGAATATATAATAAAATTTATTTAAATAATAGAAGGCGATAATTTTCGCGCTCACATATCCGAAATGATAATCTTTTTATGATGCATAGATTGTGTTCAAATTTACTTAAGGATATATTACACATACTTTTCAACAAAACGAAAAAATTATAAAAAATTACAGATTTTTCTATATTATATTTTAAAGTAATATAAGAAGTTTGGTAGCGATTTAGAGACCTGGATAAAAAATGATTTCAATAAGTAGATGTTTTTAAAAAATAATTAAAGTGAGAAAAATTTCATTTAAATTATAAAATTGATTTATTAATTATAAATATTGACCTTGAAATGTTTAATATGCATATGATATTTATTTTTATACAGAAAGTATAAATTTTCCATTTCTTTTTACAGAGTAATAATACTTTCTTAAATATTACAATATTTATTATTATTATATATTTTTATATAATATATTCAATATCAATTATATTTTCAGGACAACAAGTACAACAATCAACGCTACCAACAGAAATTTCGCCCGCCGTCGACGTGATATCGCCTCTGAAAGATCCGTCAATCTACGAGAGGCGTCAGATGACACCAACGGATGGTTCCGTGAGGTCAGACGAGGGTTACCATTCAAATGGCTATCACGATGAGATTTTGACACCACCAGAGGAAAGCAGTGAGTCCGATAGTGAAAACAACTACGTGTTGGATTTCAGTAAAAATGCCAAATCGTCAGTGTGCAACGATGAGATTCTGAAGCAGGACAACACCGCGGCGAAGAACGAATATAGGAAAGTTAAGATTAAAATTTCCAAGACCTACGGTAACTTCCAGGCGACAAAGGGCATAGCTGACGGCCCGACGAAGGATAAGGAGCAGGAGTTGTCCAGTCGAGCGGTCACTCCGGAACTCCAAAAGCCGGTATCACCCGTCATTCTACAGAAAAGCACGATTCTATCGACCGTGACTGAGGATGAGATATCTGAGAAGAACATGAAACCTTTCTACGAGCCGGAAGTCAAAGGTGGTAATCTACCGATGTCCGGCAGATCCGCCTACATAGCTAACCCTAGCAGTTCTATTCTGGAGAACATTCTACTACGTAACAGTACAGACAACAACAACAACAGCCACAACCATCATCACAATGGCGGCTCGCAACAACACCATCAGCATCATCAGCTGCATCATCAGACTCACGTAGACTCAGTGACGCCGCCACCCTCCAGTCCCACCGAGATGGCATATTCCTACAAGAAGTCTCATCGTTACGGAAACATTTTGCCCTGCAGCCCGGACTCTAGTTCGAATCTGCCTCTACAAACGGACTCGTGCGTGAACTCAACCAGCGGCAACGGTGGTGCGCTGTCTAGCATGCAGAGTCCCACCGGTAATCTACACTCCAGCACAGGAGGAGGGCTGCATTCGAGCACCGGTGGAAACAACGGCAGCTTACCGCCGCATCCGGGAAGTTTGCACTCGTCTAGCAACGCCGGTGGCGGCATACATTCCAGCACGAGTGTGCTCTCATCTAGCGCGATGCTAACGTCTACCAGCCCACATTCGGCATCCACAACGGCAAACGGTTGTCTGCCGAAGCGGAAGACCAAATCGCCGTCGCCATCGTCAAGTCAGAACGGCGTGTCCACCCCAACAACGATTCTTTACTCCGGCAGCTCCGGGACCGCTGGCTGTCAGATCGAGTCCGCCAGTCCGGTTTACCCAAACTCCGCTGGCAGTAGCAGTAGCAGTACCAGCAGTAATCAGAGCATCTCGCCGATCTCGCCGATTCAATCGCCCTCATCCTACAGCCCGTACGGTAGTCTGTACGGTCATCAGAATAGTTCGCTGCATCACAATATGGGCTCGTCGTTGTCTATCAACTGCTCCGCCTATTCGCCCACGCCGAGCGGCAATGTCGTTTACGAGAGGACGACGGATGGCAGACGGCTAGAGGCCACCAGCAGTGGCGGCCATCAATTGCCCACCTCATCAACCATGCAAATTGATGGCAACCAGGCGTTGATCACCGGCACGCACAATCTTCATCTCGGTCATCATCCGGGTCTTACCATTCATCCAAATTCCTCGTCATCTCTCAACAGATACTCACCGGCGAGCTCCTTATCACCGGACGATCATGGTTGTTCCCAGAGCGGCTCCCTTAGCCCCAATTCCCAGGGCTCGAGGGGTTACAGGTCGTTGCCTTATCCGCTTAAGAAAAAAGACGGCAAGATGCATTACGAATGTAACGTCTGTTGCAAAACCTTTGGTCAGCTATCAAATCTCAAGGTACACCTGAGGACGCATTCTGGCGAAAGGCCCTTCAAATGCAACGTTTGTACCAAAAGCTTCACACAACTCGCGCATCTCCAAAAGCATCATCTCGTGCATACCGGTAAGCTAATATGAGTATTAATCTTCATGTAATTGTCGAAGTAAAATTCATAATTGGGAGTAATAAAGTGATATCTCCAGTTTTTCAGCACATTATATTATTAAGGGAGTCCTAAAGCCGTCTGCGTATTATCGAGACTAAATCATAATATTTTTATATAAAAATTACTTTTTTCCTCTTTTACAGATTTGAAAATCCTTTTCCAGAATTAAAGTATACGTGTCTGTTAGGTAGAGTTTATGCCGAGAACGACAAAAAATTTTGAAAGAAATTGAAATCTTAAGAAAAATTTTTTGTTATTCTCGACATAAACTCCTCCTCACAGACACTATTAATACGAATACTTTAATCCTGGGGAAAAAATTTTCGAATTTGTAGAAGAGGAAAAAAGTAATTGTTATGCAAAAATTATAACTATCGATAATACAGACGGCTTTAGGATCCTCTTAATGTATTTTATATGAAATGTTCATTTTGTAGAGTTTAATTTATTTATTTAAGATTTAATTGAAAAATTTATATATTACTCTTTAAAATTTTGTAATAATTACTTTCCGCTTTCGTATATCCCTCGTTTGCAAAAGTCTAACAGACATTATACTGCGAATCATAATATCATATAACGTTATAACTGGACAACTAATTAATATAATATACATAAAAAGGATTCTTGATTCTTTTTTTACGTCCGAATGCAACATTTCCTAAATACGAAGAAGATAATAATTGTGATGATAGATACAACTTGCTTATCAAGAGTTTGATTAAGATATTATCTTAATCAACTACTGCTTTAGATAATATATATATATATATACATTTTTATCAAATACGACTGTCTTCAGGTGAAAAGCCGCACCAATGCGAGATATGCAAAAAGAGGTTCAGCTCGACTTCGAATCTAAAGACCCACCTTAGACTGCACTCTGGTCAAAAGCCGTACGCCTGCGACCTTTGCCCCGCCAAGTTCACCCAATTTGTTCATTTGAAACTGCACAAGAGGTTACACACAAACGAACGACCGTACACCTGTCAAGGTTGCGATAAAAAATACATTAGCGCGAGCGGCCTCAGGACCCACTGGAAGACAACGAGCTGCAGACCAAATAATATCGAAGACGAGCTTGCGCTCGCCGCGGCCGTGGGTTCGCCAACGTATTACGAGTACGGCCCTGATATGAATGTTGGTAAGTATGAACTCTCGATAAGTCTACAATCAAAGTAAAGGAACTGCTTATCTCTCGTTAATGCACGTTGCTGAGATAATCGTAAAGAAAATTCATTAAAACGTTCAAAATATATTATTAATCGGCAAATTTGTCGATATATTATTATATATTTAGAATCTCGGAAAGAATTGATCGGTTATTCAAAAGCAGAATAAATGCGCTAGGCATTAGATAAGGAAATAAGGATAACGCTGGATGAGCAAATGATCCTTGCAGGAAATATGCCCAAGGAATGCGAGTTGGAGCACATTGATAATTACGACAGGCATGGATCGACACATGGCCCGCACTCCACGTCCCTCCACAACCTGGAAAATTCCGTGGGTCGGCCGAGTGTCATAGAAACGTCCCAACCACACATTATCGAGTGTACATAAGTACATTACAATGTTACATAAATACATAAGTCACATGATGGGGTATGAGCCCCCTTCTGCTCGAACGCAAAATGCAATCGTGGAAACGTAAGAGAATTGCTCGCGACAGAAAAAAGAATGGACATGGGAGCTTTCCTATTCTGAAATGGCAGTAAAGAACAGAGCTTTTGCAAATAGTGTTGCACAAGGAATCTTCGCAAGTTCTTCTTCTTAATTTCGATGAAATATTATGGTGGATTTTTAAAACGATAAAATAATTTTCATAAATTTCTATTAATATTTTCTTTAATAATCTAATTTGAGAATTAAATTCTTTTTCTACAATTGTATATCCTGGAGATCAAAAATACATAATAATAAAATAATATGATACAAAAAATATATTAAAATATTTTATTTATTTTGTTTTTCATTATTTTTATTATTATTAATTATTATAATTTCGATGTTGAATTGTATTAAAATAACTTTGGAAGCTAAACTTGAATGATATTAGAAATAAAGAAAATATTCTAGGCTTTAATTATTTAATTTGATTTATTTTTCTTCGATCATATTTCATCAAAATTTGAGACGATATTAATGAATAATTTCTCAAAATAATGAGAAATTATTAATTAATCCATAAAATGATCGATCATCGTTAATTGTACAATAGAAGTTTAATCGATTGATCAACAACCGCCTAATTTTTTAGCGGACACTTTGAATTTTGTTGTTTTAATACCGAAGACGAAAAAGGGAAGGTGGATTTTTTCTAGAAAAGCTGACGAAGTTCTGTCTAGAAACGCGCATAAAGTTCCTTCCTTATAAATTATCCTTGTAAATACTCGTTTCTATATTTTTTCTATCGTAGCGTTATCAACGAAAGGGAGAATGGTGTTTGAAATAATTAGGTTTAATTGCTTGATAAGATCGTAATACTGCCATTTCAGGAGAAATAGGAAGAACAGTCGCATAAGCAACGGTACCAAAATCGGATTTCTCAATTACTCTTCCACGATGCATTTTGGAATTGCACGTCGAAGACAGAATATGATGATACAATAAACTTTCAATGACTTGAATAGGTAAAAGATAACATTTTAAAGTTGCACAAACAAAATTGAAAAAAAAATTTTTACTTTTACGCCGCAAAAGTATGGTTAAAAATGCCAATTTTGACAAATTTAATCTTAATTTTCTTGAAAACTTGACATATTAGGCCAATCCGCAATCGGATTCGTTTTCAAAAATCCGTTGAAAAACATTTCAGGTTTATTCAGATTCTAAAAAATGATTCATTTTTTTTAACTATAATTTAGTAAGATTTTACTACATGTATACTTTCAGAAGCTCGCAATGATCACGGCGTTAATTACATTGCAAAAACTAACTTTAAATGTATTACAGGTATACATTTTAAAACGAAATTTTGTGCGGTCTTCGACGTGCTAAAATTGTAGGCCCGTGTGTAAAATGGCGGATTTTGTCGGCACCCGTCATAATTAACGTTCGCGTAATAGCGAATGCTCAATAACAAGGAGCAACAACAAGAAGACTCGAATAATTAGTGACGACACGACTGCAACTATACGAGACCTGTACCTGTATATATATTAATATTATTATTATTTCTTATTTGATAATTTAAAAAGAAGTAATATAAGGAGCTCTAATTTATGAATACCTTTATACATATAAATATATATACCTATATATGTGTATATACATCCGTGTGTACACATGTATATGCGTATGTGTACTTGCGTGTATACGCACATACATGCGTGCATACCGTCGTCATCGGTTGGCGGACGGTAGACTGCGCTTTACGTTAACTTTTGCGAAGTAAATTTTATATTAGAGATTTCATTAATGATATTAATTTATTAACGCGTGTGTAAAAAGACGTTGAAACTGTCGACGTGCGCTTCTATTATACTCGTACGACTCATGTTTTTGAACACGATCGGCACACAACTTTGTTAGCACTTTAAAAGTGTCCTTTTCTTTTAGCATTCCTAAGAAATTCTAGATTTACGATAACGAGATCGTTAATATTTATCAAAATTTTACGTCGAGAATTTCGTATAGTGGATCATAGTGTAATTACGATAACGAGACTTTGCTCTTCTTGGATTTTAATCGCGATAAAAGTTATAGTATATGTGAATCGTGCACTGAAATTTTTAATCGCGCTTATTATTTGCATATTTTTTTGGTTCTCGATAAATATTATATTATATACGTATTTATAATGTTACTGTCTTTATTAGCATCCATGCTTGAGCATGTTTCTATTTATTTCAGCTATGCTGAATCTTTCTTTAATTTAAAGAAAAATATATTTTGTATAAATCATAAGTTTTGATCGCAAAAAAAAAAAAGATTTCTTTATATTTTCATTGTACTTTTCGATGAAGATATTTGTAGCTTTAAACGATCAAAATTTGAAGGTGGGGAGGACAATCGTCTGTAATAAATCAGAAATTATGATAGTAAATCTAGTCAAAATGTCTTGGAAAAAACACTAGTGCAATTACGACGTTTCTTAAGAAAAATATGTATTTCGAAGTCGGATAAAATCTTCGCGGCAACGATTATCAAATATTGCGTGCGCGAATCGATTCTTCGATCACATTGTGCTTCCTATACATAGCACAGAAAGTAAAAGTTAGAATTAATGAAAATCGTCGAAAATGCTATTCTTCTTTCTCGCAGCTTCCATTAATTTTATGCAAATTCAGCGAGTTCCATAACTTCCATTAATGCTAAGCTAGGTCGAACGAGTTAATTCTAAGCGCAGCTTACCGTACGTGGTGCGAAACAATTCACTTCTTACTGAGGGACGACTCTAGGGTTTCGTCGACGCAAAGCACGGGGACGAGAGAATTTTTTAACAATACGATACGAATTTTTAAACGAACGATAAGAATTTTTAAAACGAGATCGAGAACCCCCGAGTCGTCGTTCTGTAAAGATATTAATCTAAAGGACGTATCGCAGACTGATATACACATGGCTATCGAGCGTTTGTGAGATTTTAAAGAGTAACGTGCATCGCGATACGATTCCGTGCGAAGCGAGAGAGAAAGAGAAAAAGAGCGAAAGAGAGTGAAAGAGAGTGCGAAAGCGAGAGAGTGTGCGATTTTCAAGAATGCAGGAGTGTGTTACATCATCGTTTCTAAATTTCGGCTTCCTTCGCAAGATCCTTCGAGGCTTCGGTTCCGCAAAAATCTCCCCCTCGCGTCCGACGTTGCGACGCTAAACAATTTTCAATCCAAAGAAATCCGTTTTTAGCTAAATCCTTTCAGGACGTAGCGGGAATACGCGATCACTCATATTCACCATTCACCCTTATGCCGAAACCGCGGTGCTCGCGTGCGAGATCTTTACGAAACTGATGACCCTCGTTTCTCCATACTCCGAAAATTACCTATTATCCTCATACTATTCACTACCTGCCCGCCGGGCACTGTTGAACGAAAAGTCCTTCCTCGACTGTCCCGGCAATTATACCGTAATAAGTTTAACGAGCAGTTCAAATTGGACTCGCAAACGATGTATCGTAGATTCACAAGGCCTTTACACTGATTTGCTGATACCCTTTAATAACCAGGCAATTTGGACGACTCGCAGGCATTCTACGGGATGTCGAGTAATTGAAAAAGTATCTGTACAACGTGACGTATGCTACAGCGATAGTATGTTAGAGATTACGCTCCAGGAACTCCTCGAATATTGTACGAGGAATTTGTGTCCGTGTTCTCGATGTCAGTCTGTAAGGCGTCCCATCTTATAGAATGACACTGAAAGCACAAGAGATGAAAGACGAAGCAGAACCTAGGAAACATTTTTATTCGAAACTCGTTACACAATATCGCATTGCAAGCAATAATGAAAATTCCTTTGGTGATATCGGTCGCGGTTCCTGGTGACGTTCTTCACGACCGAATGTCATCCTGTATACTGTCTCGATTCCCCGCCTTGCCTGTATTTTGAGAACACTATTACAAATAACGAAGTTAAAACGGAGCTAGAGGAGAAACTTAGGCGCTTAGGACTTTGAAAAGCTAATAACGAGACGTCGGGAATGGAAGAAAAGGAAGTAGCACACGGCACAGCGCGTAAAAAGGCAAACGGTGAAGACCATGTAAATACATACGCTGAAAGTAGTGAAATAACGAGAGGAAGCGACAAGCGAGAGCGATTAATCGCCTCGAAAACAAACAAGCAATATTTAGTTCTTATCATCTCGTAATAATTAAACGATAACGATCCAACTGTACCGTGCACGCACACGCGCGCGTACGCGTGCACGCGCTCGTACGTATTTAAACGACTATAAATTAAATGTTAATTATCCTTACATTTCGTATACATATATAAATATATATATATATATATAGTGAAATTGTTACGCATTTATTATCATTATAATTATTGAATAGGTAATGCTCAATTAGCATTTGTTTCTTAAAATAAAGAATAAATATATGGCTGTTGGATATTTATATGCACATATCACTACCATACCTACATATCTTGTTATATAAAATTAGATATCATTATAATGATACTTGAAGTGACACAGAAATCACGTTCAATAACGATCACACGAGGGGAAAAAAATAACGAACGACGTGAATATGGACATCAACTGGATATATGGAACCATAGGACAATAAGTTTTTCAGCTTTTATTGTAAATTGATCTACAGATCATTGTATCCTGATTCAATTATCATTTACATTATCATCATAAATAATAAAATGCCACAGCTGTCACTTATTGTTTCCACATACGTCTACAATCAATCCGAGTTTGCCTCCAAGTTTTCACAATAAATTTGTATTACTTCATGGCAAAAAAAAAGATTTAATGTATTATTTAAATTTTACTAGTCTTTTGCTATAAAAATTAATACCTTCGGCGAACAAATCGCACAAAACTGGTAGTCGCCGAAAAGTAAAAAGGAAGAAAGCTACACTGTTAGAAATTTCATTATGAATTAAAGTAACATGTAAAGAAAGCTTGCTGTATAGCTTTCGCTATAAAATAACTGAAAAGTAATGAAATGATTTAACTGAAAATTCAATTACATTTTAATGCAATAAATATGTGCATTAAATTTCAGCAAATCCACAATGAAATTTTTTTGAAAGTATTGTACAT